CAACGTTTCTAACAAGGTTTTGTCATCATCAGGTACGTTGTACGTTTGCTGTTATGTTAAACTTATATTAAAGTTTTTCTTCATTACTCACTCAAGCCATCTCCAGCCATTATTAGTCTCAAAGTCGGTTTCTTGTCTCCAAATTTTAATGTACAATTAACTCTTAGTTATAAACATATCAGAGAGAATTATTGACACAAAGAGTATTGTCAATATGAGTTGAACAAATATAGTAATATCTCAGTACAGCATGAAGTTAAACTCTCATATTCTAGCTTGTCAGTATCAAAAGCACATTTCTAATTAACCCTTTATTATCTCCACTCATAAATTTACACCAATTACAATGATGAAAAAAACAACCAATATATAGGATAAAAGGTTAATTGAGCAATCTAAAGTGCAAATAAGGGAACAAAAAAAACCTACAGACGAGAAGTCACAGTGCCACCATGACATGTGACTATGAGAGATGCAGATTGAGAATTTACCTAACCAAATGTGAACAGGTTCAGTCCATTGGACATACCTTGTACTGGAGAAGAAACGCTCACTATAATCACGAAATGTAGCAAGCTGTTTTGTAAAATATACAAATCTGATGAACACAAAAAATTCAGATGTGTTCCAAAAGTATTTGTACTCAAGAATTTGCAAGTTGATGACATTAGTCTGACTCAGACAAGATGAAATGCAAGGTGATGTTTATGTGAAGAATAAAAAATATTTTTGTCCACCACACAGTTTGCATATTGCATAACCTCTGGAACCTCCAAAATGTGTATCAAGTTTCTTTCAGTATCCCTGTATATTGTATATGGTATTTACTCTCCTCAACTAAAAACTATCATTAAATCAGTAGTGTAGGACAAAATGAATAGTTTATAACTCTGACATCAAATACATATAACATTATATTGAATGGCAATCTGTAAAAGGTCATGACATGCTCAATTTGACCCTTCATCCATGAACATAGCGTTAAATATTTCTTTTTGAAATTAATACATGAAAACAGATATTATACAAATTTTAATTGTAACCTATATTTTGACATAAAGCTTACTGATACACATTGGTAATAAAGTTGTTTAATTAAATTTTGAATGTATCCGTGTAAAAGATCATGACACGTGTTCTTGGACCTCCATCAGTATCGATAGGGTTAAATTATTTTTAATTCTGAAAATCCATTTTCGTTCAAAGTGCTAAATTAAGTTTTAATTAATAGATATTTTTAAGAAGAGTTCACTATTCTATACTGAAATATTTCTAACAAACAAACATAATGAAATGGCCATCACACTACTACTCACCTGAGCAACTTGTACAAATGTGTGTGTTGAATACTCTGGTACTAAAAAGTCATTTCCTCGTGTATTAGAAAAATCACCAGCAAGTTGCAAGTATACATTCAACCAACTGTTAATTGTCATTGGTGTAAGATTCCACTTCAGAGTCTGAATAGAAATTAAAGTTTATCAAATATACAAATCTAAAATGTTTGCCATACTTAACAGAACATGCACTATTAAAAATATTATTAAAGTATTTAAGTATATCATTTCACTATATCAATAAAAGCAGTTAATGTGAAGTTAATTTTCCATATAGAAACTATGCCTGATTAACACAGTTTAGTATATTAACAAACCTTACACAACTTGTTAAAATGTGGCTTACCATGTGTTTAAGATACATTACTGCCTCAGTTGCCTATAACCCAGTTACTTGTTTTTTAAGCACAAATAATTTTTCATAAGATACAGAAAACAAATCGAAATGTTTGTTTAAAAATAATATTTTTTTCCTCAAGATTAATAAAAGATATCAAACAAGTTAGTGAAACTTATAAGCAAGAGTTTTGTAAGTATAGCGAAAACTAATTCACCTAATCACTTTTAACATACATTGTAAAATGCACATAAATATGTTACTATAATACCAGTAATTTGATTAGCAGTAATTACTTTAAGAAGCACAATTTCTTTTTCTAAGATTTCAGTTTCTGTACATGCTCCATCTGTGACATAAGCAAACTCTGACAGCTTGGGTGGGTAGATTTCCTGTCCAGAAATTAAATAAAAACAATATTAACTCTAAAAACAAATGAATGTTTAAGTTAATAAAGCATGATTAATGAACTTGTTAGTATGACCTTAATTTAAAAGTAATAATTAGAAAAAATAATTTATCTTACCTATGGAATGATATAATATACCAAGACAAAACTTATTCATTAATGTACATGATAACCTATATAAAAGTCAGTGTAGGTCATGTCAACTCACACTTAATTTCTCAAAATAGGAGGAGTCATAAAAGCCATCTTGGCTTTTATCCAGATAGAATAGTTCAATTACTGTCTGCCCATTACAATTATAGTGATGGGAGTGCAAGGGAGCTTTGAGGGTGTGGTGGGGTGCCGTGAAACCTTATAAGTGTAGTGAGTGTTGGTATAATAAGCCTAAAGTAAAGACATAGTGTGGAATTACCTAGCCTAGAGCCAAGTGCCTAAAATTTATCATGAAAGTAAAAATATCAATTCAATTCTTATCTTAAATCATTTCTGAATTAAGCTATTTTCTGTTACATCACCAACATTTTAAATAAAAAACAAACTTCTTTAATCAACAGAGGTTCTAAATTAAGAAATCAACAAATATTTTTCCAGTTCTGTTATCTATACATTTCATTTTATACTTTCAGTACATAGACTAAAGATAATATTAGGTTATACTTTTGTTGGTAAGCAACATGACATCAAAACCATTGTTGGAACGTGGTGTTACCAAAATGCACTGGCTTTTCTATCTATTAGAAGTTGTTAATCAACTGATTTTTATCAATAAATATTCTAAGAATATGCATGAATGCTTTTCATGAATTATCTTAATTTTGATTGGCTCACAAAGGAATTTACCAACGTTTGACTGCCTCAATTGCACTTTTCTGCCCTGTTGTTGTTCAAGTTTGATTTCACAAAATATATTTATTTCAGTTAGCTAAGAAATGTGAGGTTAGGGTTTACTATGGGGTGGGGGTGGTAGTACTTTCCCCATAATTTTTGATGGTCTATATGATAGCAACCTATAAACAGTCATACATTATTTACAAAAGGTGTATTATCTTTATATTAAATTACCAAAATTAATTTTGACTTCTATTATAAGATTATAAGATAAAAATTTGAAGTACATGAAACTTCACTTCAGTATCAATAAAACACTGTTAAAAGTCGTATTCAAAAGATAAAATAAGGGCTGTTTTGACAACAACCTATTTTAAATTCAAGATATAGAAATCTGTAGTTTAAATTTAAGTATCATAGATAACTGTGTTTTAGTAAAACACAATTTTGATCTTGAAATGACTTTACAATACAATATAGAAGTTGATGCTTACAAAGAATTGCCCAGAATTATTAAATTATTGTTCTTAATTGTTAAAAACTTACCTCTATTTTAGCAGCAACAAACAAAGAAGTTATTCCTAGAAGCTGAAGTTGTTGTTTTGGCAAATTCTTTTGAGTGGCAAGATAACGATCAATAAAATCTTGGGCTAGGTAAAACGTTTCCCTGTGGAGCCGATATACTTCACAAACCTTAAAATATACACACAACAATTCTTAATACAACAATCTATGTTCTACAATACTCAAATTAATTCTGTAACTCAATGTAAACTTCTCACTCTCTCAGTCTTTAATACACCAATCATTCACTGAGGTATTCATAGCTTATAAAGCTGAAAATATATATATATATATTATAATAGTTACACAAGAACAAGTCCAAAATCTATATGTAGTGTTTAGTAATACATATACATTTTCAATGTTTGTTCTCCAGCAAAACCTGAAAAATATTTAATACTTTTAGTTATCTTGATTTTTCACACCTTTGTACTCACAAGTAATTTTTTGAGTAATGTTGAATGACACATTTGTATACTTTAACATGAAAAAAAAAAGAATAAGTGATATTAAATAATTATTCTTACATGTTGTTAAATAAAAAATTAGGAGTTTAAAAAATGATCAGGTTACTGGGCAAAATAATATGTCCCCAAGGGTTTTGAAGGACATTAAGGATTGAATATGTGACTCACTTACTACTATTGTTTTTGTAAGTCCTTGAATAGTGGGAAGGTGCCAGAGGATTGGAAGTTGGCTAATGTCACTACTCTTTTTCAAGGGAGGTGATAAAAACTGTCCCAGTAATTATAGACCCAAAGTTTGATAAAAGGTGCTTAGCAAAGTCATTTAACAAAGTTTAGAATTTTAATTGATAGTCAACATTGTTTCACGAATGGAAAATCCTGCCTTACAAATCTTTTGACATTCTTTGAAAAGGTTACTGCCTATGTAGATGAGGATAAGGATGTAGTCTAGGTCTATTTGGATTTTTAGAAAGCATCTGACAAGGTGCCACATAAAAGGCTTGTAAAAACATATTAGCTCTATAGGTGTGGGGGAAAAGTTAGCAAATTGAATAGAAGAGTGGCTGGATGGAGAAAAGCAGAGGGTTGTTATAAATGGAGTTCAGTCAAACTGGATTAATGTCACAATTGGAGTACCTCAAGGCTCAGTGTCAGGACCTTTGCTCTTTTTCACTTACATCAATGACAGATGAAGGAATGGTCAATAAAGTACTTGAATTTGCTAATGATATTAAGGTGTTGGGTGTTGCTAGCTGTGAAGAGATGCTGCTGATTTACAAAAGGATTTAGATCATTTAGTGAGTTGGGGAACTAAATGGCAGATGGGTTTTAATTATAATAAGTGTAACATAATGCACGTGGGTTTTAATTATAATAAGTGTAAC